ATATCCCCCTCTAGTGGCAGAAGGCAGAATAGCAGCTTCCCATTAGTTTCTATGGACAGAAAAGAGCAGATACGGATTAAATGGTTTTCAATGCATTCCTATGGGAAATGCAGATTCGACTTAAGAACTTTTCGACTTGAGAACCACCTTCCAATACGGATTAAGTTCTTAAGTCGAGACCCCACTGTATGTAAAGATTCATTCTCGCTGGTAGTTAAAATATTTAATATTTACAGCCATTTACTGCACTAAAAGCAACAAGACTTCAGCCAGTGTTTTGAAGCCAAGCCAGGTTCACTTGTCTAGTCAAGGTTATAAATTGATCTCTTTCTTTGCAGTGATTTCGTTGTTTGCAAGGAAATTTCTTTAAAGGTCAATCATGAAGCTCAAGCGAGGAAGCAAGTTCAAGAGGCCATCTACGTTTAAACAAAAAGGCATCAGAGTAACAGGGAAATGGAAACCTGTAGAGATTGACCCGAACCTCTTCGCCGATGAGCAGCTTGGAGGCTTGGTATGTTTTGAGGAACTTACTGATTATAAATTGGTGTCTTCCTTGAAGACTGGAGAAGAGAAAGACAAGAAGAGGAAATCTGATTGCAGGGATAAAGAAGAGGAACCTGAGGAAGAACGTGGGACCGTTCCCCGAAAGAAGAGAAAGAAAGAGAAGAATCTGGGAGAGGAGGCAAAGCCGAAGGATGAACTTCAAGGGGAGGGAAACGAAATAGACCCAGAGGACATGGGCAAAGAAGCTCCTGTTAGATGTGAGCAAGATCAGAATGTCACAGTAGACACTTCGGGCCTGGGAAGGAAGCAGCTAAAGAAAAAGAGGAAGAAGGAACAAAAGAAGAAGAAACACCCTTCCCAAGACATCCCTGAACCAGTTCAGTCTTCCAGAAAGGCAAAAAATTGGACGGCAGGAGTTTTGTCCACATCTTTGAATGAGAAAGTAGATGTTTCCTCATGGAAAGGCCTTTTTGTTCCTAAGCCTATCCTTCAGGCCCTGAGTCAATTGGGATTCAGTGCACCGACTCCGATTCAGGCTCTTGCTCTGCCTTCTGCCATTCGAGATGGCATGGATATCCTTGGGGCTGCAGAAACAGGTAGGCTTTTCTTCTACAAGGACATTCTCCGTGTGCTGTCTCTTTACACATCAGTATTTGTGTATTCCATGCATCCTCAAGCATGCCATAAAAGTCTGGAATATTAGCTTTCCATTTTTGTAAAAATGGATCCATTTCTATGCCGAAAGGAATTTGAAAATGCTTGGACAGGGCGTGATGAAATTGAAGAGGGTTAGGTAGGTCTTCAGTGCAGAGGATTACAACAAGCTGCTTAGTTTCTGCTGCATCCACCCGCTCTTGCATCCACCCGCAGCAGAAGCAAAATGAATTGGTAGTGGAACGGGACGGAAGCAATTTATTGCCTGATTTTATCCAATTGCCAGTTGCTGTTTAAGGAAATTCTAGGGATTACCTCACCACAGAATTTGGATTTTTAGTTTATTTATTAATGGATAAAAACATGCAATCCTGACATCAGCATGCAAGTAAGTTTATGTTGTATTCCTAGCTGTTGGTAAAATAAAATTAAGTGCCATTCATCCTTTGCCAAGATTATTTAAGAAAAGGGTGAAACCAGGGTAGCTTTGGATTTAAATCATTGCAAGGTGGATAAAAATCAGTGAATTTAAAACAAAAATCGATGTGTAGCCTGCACAATTAACTTGTAAACTGCCTAGAGAGTGCTTGAAGCACTATGGCACGGTATATAAGCAGCACGCTTTGCTTTATATACAGTCAAATATTATAAAATACCAACATTTAAATGCTGTCAATATTGAATGTAATTACATGTCAGTGACTAAAATATTTCTAAATATTAACTGTTCAAATACTTGGGTGCCAACTAGGTAACAGATGCTTCTTGTACGTATAGCAAATACTGGAGTATTTTAGTATCTGGAAAATGTTAAAGACCAGGGTTTTCTGATTTTGTCTTTAGAATCTTCTAGTGCTGTATTTTACATTGTTTTTGGTTTGATTGATTGTTTTTACAGGCAAGATTTATGACACCAACTGCATCTGTCCTAGACTTACTTTATTCTGACTTCATTCTTATTCTCCCATAATAATTTATGAAGAGGGGAAAATGTGTGTATTTGTTTTTGGACTACAATTCTTAGAATCCCATAGTTAGTGCTGTATTTTACATTGTTTTTGGTTTGATTGATTGTTTTTACAGGCAAGATTTATGACACCAACTGCATCTGTCCTAGACTTACTTTATTCTGACTTCATTCTTATTCTCCCATAATAATTTATGAAGAGGGGAAAATGTGTGTATTTGTTTTTGGACTACAATTCTTAGAATCCCATAGTGGCCATATTGACTATGGGATTCTGGGAGTAGCAGTCCAAAAAAAGCAATGTTTCATATCTAATTTCCAGTCTTAGAATCCCATAGTGGCCATATTGACTATGGGATTCTGGGAGTAGCAGTCCAAAAAAAGCAATGTTTCATATCTCCACTAATTTCCAGTTGGGATTATATTTCCTCTAGCACAGCTCTCTCCTTATCAGTGAAGTCTTTTAATTAGAATCTTCACATAAATAAGAGTTAATTTCACCATGTTGATCCACACTGTTGAATTCATAAGTACAGTAGCTTGAATTAATCCCTGCATGCTTATCTGAATGATCCACTGTAGGTATCGTGGGCTTTGTCATTGGAGCCATTGCATTCCCACTTTCCTCTTTGCTCTCAAATGCTCCAAATTCTTCTTGTTTTGGTGGAGAGGGTGTTGCTGTGACAACTGTTATTCTTATAAATCTTCCAGTAAGTTCTGGAAGCATTCCTACAAAGTAAAGCAAAGCGTGCTGCTTAGATCACCCCATAACACCAATGGCAGCAGTCAAAATGGGCTACATGATATCTTCTTCTGCTTGCTACCTTTCATGATTGTTGGGGGGGAAAAGTCCTTATCATCACTTTGTGTTTGGGTGAGAAGTGGTTAACTGATGAAAAAAGGATTCAGCTTCTGGGATTTTTCCCTTGCATGGTGTCACTTCGTGAATGGTAGTGAACATAAGAGGGAACCCTGTAGAGGCGTACCTTGGTTTACGAATTTAATGTGTTCTACAGGATGTTACATAATGCGGAAAATTCGTAAACCGAAATGTGGATTGCCATGGGAGCAGGAGCAGTGCTACAAACCTCCAGGCACAATGCATTCTGGGGGAACTTTCTTCGTACTCCGAAAAAACCTGAAAAGAAATGTAAACCGAGGCATTATTTTCAATGGATTTTGCTTTGTAAACCAAAAATTACGTTAACTGAGGTGTTTGTAAACTGAGGTACCTCCATAGTGGTCCATCTTGACAGTTGCTATTGTCAACATTCATGCTCGCCGTGCCCTCGCTTAGCGAAGGCGCGAAAATGGCTGCCGGCAATTGGAATCCTCGCTGAACGGGTAAGTAAGAAAGGTATTGGAACACATTAAACTAAGTTTAATGCGTTTCAATACATTTTCCCTACCCGTTTAGCGACGATTTCGCATAGCGAGGGGCACCACTGTACTTCTGTTGGCTTTCTTCAAACTGAATTAAAACAAAAATTGAGAGATGCTATGTTTCAGTGGTAAAAGGTATGCCTCAAATGCATGTTTTGTTTTTGTTTTTAAACTTTCCACTTTTCATCTTGTTTTGAGCCACACTGAGTCCCAGTTCAGGAAAGAGTGTTATAAATAAAATAGATGGCTAGGTAGCTTCAGTTTTTGTGTAGTGAAGAAGCAGACCCAGTGGTGGTAACTCTACCAGTCAGGATGGATTTGATTTAAATTACAGTGGTGCCTCGCACAGTGAGGGTTAATCCGTTCCGGATTAACCCTTGCTGTGTGAAACATCGCTGTACGGAAAGAAAAAAGCCATTGAAATGCATTAAACTTAGTTTAATGCGTTCCAATCGGCTGATTTACTCACCGTACAGCGATGTTCCTCTATGGCTGGCAGCCATTTTCGCGCCCTCCCCTCGCTTAACGAGGGTGCGAAAACGCTGCACGCAGCCATTTTGGGGTTTCCGGCGGCCATTTTGGAGCCGCGGAACAGCTGATCGGCGGGTCGCAAAGTGAAGGTCGGTAAGCGAACCGCTTACTGACCTTCGCTCTGCGATTTTCGCC